CTACTACTACTACTACTACTACTACTACTACTACTACTACTACTACTACACCACCACCAGTTAGTTTATCACCAAATAACACACCTGACCGGACACTGGGAATCCCTCTAGTCATGTTACTTAATATTACCTACACACAATACTTACAGTACTTAACTTACTTTATGTTACTTATATTAATGAAGTTATTCTTTGGTTAGGTTAGGTTAGGTTAGGTGGGTTAAGTGAAGATTAATCCTCAAATTAATCCTACCTCATCAAAAACCATCCTGAAAATCAGTCAGAAAACACACACACACACACACACACACACACACACACACACACACACACAGACACACACACACACACACACACACACACACACACACACATACTACACACACACACACCACACACACTTACGCACACACACACACACACACACACACACACACACACACACACACACACACACACACACACACACACACACACACACACACTGAACAACAAGACTCAATATCAATAACTATAAAACTTTTTTTCATTAGTAAAACTTAATTACTCTACCACACAGACAAACACACGCAAATGTAACACACACACACATACACACACACATACACACACACGTATATAAACACACGTATATACTAAAAAAGACACACATAGACACATACAAATACACAAGCATACATACATACACACACACACACACACACACACACACACACACACACACACACACACACACACACACACACACACACACACACACACACACACAAATACACACACACACACAAAACACAAATATAAAACATACACACATATACACACACACAAATATATACACACTCACACACACACACACACACACACACACACACACACACACACACACACACACACACACACACACACACATATCCTACTGTGGTATATAATCTTTATCCCCCGAGGCTATAATATATCTAGTAATGATAGTAATGATAGCCAAATGATATGGTGTATATTGTGGTGTAAACAGCTGAGTGGTGTAAACAGCTGAGTGGTGTAAACAGATGAGTGTTGTGGTGATCAGCTGACTCGGGTGACACAGTTGATCTGGCTCAACATTGGCTGACTCTCACACTTTGTCTACCCGAGTTATGTTAATTTTCTTCCCTTAGGTCTATTGTTACTGTGTGTGTGTGTGTGTGTGTGTGTGTGTGTGTGTGTGTGTGTGTGTTATATTTGTGTGTGTATATGTGTGTATGTTTTATATTTGTGTGTTTTTAGGTGTGTGTGTGTGTGTGTGTGTGTGTGTGTGTGTGTGTGTGTTTTGTTTGTTTATTCGTGTGTATATATGACCCAAAATTATCACGCCTAGTGCCACACCTACAGTACCTTGTGTCATACCTATCCAGTGCCACACCTGCACAGTGACACACCAACCCAGTGCCACACCTTCCCAGTGCCACACTTACCCAATGCCACACCTACCCACTGCAACATTTACTGTCTCAAATTACGGGTGACATCACTGAATTCAATTCATAATATAATCACACGAGTAAATCTAGTTTACCAGGACATCAATCCATCATGACATCAATCTAACCTTATTTCTATCACGGTAAAGCATCACTGACATCAATCACGACAACAGTTCTGATAAAGTGACATCAACCAATAACTCTCACTCACCCTGACATCAATAACAACACGCCTTCCATCAGCTCTCTTACGGGTTGGTCTTCTCTGACATCAGTAGTTATATCAATCAATATGTGGGCCTCTTTAGTCAGGGGGAGAGAGGGAGGTTGAAAGAGGAGGAAGAGATGGCGAACAAATGTAGTGGGGATTTTTATTAAGGGAGGGAGGGGGAGGTGCAGGAGAGCTCAGTGTCATACCAGCTGTTACAAGAAGGAGGAGGAAAGTGGCGTGGAGAGAAAGGGGGGGAGGAGGGGGAGGGGAGGGGAAGGGAGGGAGGGGAGGGGTAATGTAATGGGAGTTAAGAGGATAGTTTCAGATAGTAGTAGTAGTAGAAGAACAGGAGGAAAGAAATAGTAATAGTAGTCAGGTGGGGTGGAGGGGTCAGGTCAGGTCAGGCGGAGAACAGGTCAGGCCAGGTCAGGTCAGGCCAGGTAAGTTAATAGTATGATTGGTACATCACAGGCCATCACTTCGCCCATTATAATATGCAAATGACCTGGTTGGACTGGTCGCGTCTTAACCAGCTGTTGACCCGTGACGACTCTCCTGTCCTAACGACCCATTAATACTTTTTTTAGTATATATTCCGCCTCAACATACGCTGACGTCAGCTGTCAACCATGGGGGGTGAGGGGGAGGGAGGGTGATGCGTCACATCACCCAGCATACCCCCTTAAACTTCGGTGTCATCACATCACCCAGCATACCCCCAAACTTGCGTCACATCACTTAGTATACCCCCAAAACTTGCGTCACATCACTTAGTATACCCCCAAACTTGCGTCACATCACCTAGTATCTGACTCTCCCTCCGTGACTACTGACCTGGAACAATAGTATATGCTTAGCGTATATCCTCGCCTCAGTGTATATATGTGTATATGCGTAAAGTATAAGCACTTCGAGAGAGAGAGAGAGAGAGAGAGAGAGAGAGAGAGAGAGAGAGAGAGAGAGAGAGAGAGAGAGAGAGAGAGATGCTTACCTTGCAACACACACGCAATAAAATGTGTCCAATATCCTTCATAGGTGCTTGTTGACAAAAGATATTGCATGTGTGTGTGTTATGTTTGTGAACGAGAGATATTGCCAGTGTGTTTGTTATGCTTGTTGACAGGAGATATCGTGAGTGTGTTTGTTGAGTGTTGTTGCTCAGGCGTTACAATAACTCTCAGGGATTCACACGTGAGATCAAATGAAGCCGTGTTGTGACAATGTTCGTACCACAGTCAGGGCTCGATGCTCCGTTAGGGGTGTTAAGGAACCAACCGAATCCAGACAAGAGAGAGAGAGAGAGAGAGAGAGAGAGATCTTTTAATTTTGAACCATAAGATGACAAGATATCTCTCTCTCTCTCTCTCTTCCCCTTAAATGTGTCAAGGTCCCGAACACAGATTAATCGAGGTCCCGAACCCTAGACCATCAATGTTTCGATCATTATCTTGTGTGAGAAATTGAATCACTTTTTATCAATGTGCCGACAGACAGACACACACACACAAACACACACACACACACACACACACACACACAGCATCAGGGACTTAAACTCTGATATATCGAGGCTTCGAAACAAGGTGAACTGACACCCTTATTCTTTTTATACAGCATGTTAATCTCTCTCTCTCTCATTCTATTTCCCACGGTTCAAGTTCCCGAATCCTGGATATAAAATGTTTTTATCTCCCTGTCTGTCTGTGTCTCTAAGGTTGCGTGTGTGTGTGTGTGGGGTTCATTGGGGTGTGTGAGTGTGTGTGTGTGTGCATGTGTGTGTGTGTGTGTGTGTGTGTGTGTGTGTGTGTGTGTGTCTGTCAATGTGTGTGTGTGTGTGTGCATGTGTGTGTGTGTGTCCTTGTCTGTCAATGTGTGTGTGTGTGTGTGTGTGTGTGTGTGTGTGTGTGTGTGTGTGTGTGTGTATGTGTGTGTGTGTGTGCGTGTGCCTGTCTGTCAGTGTGTGTGTGTGTGTGTGTGTGTTTATATATTAATACTAAGACCTCCAAAACTTAATAATATGTTAAAAGCCCAGAACTCAGATGATTCGAATCCCCGAACTCCACCGCGTGAAGCATTCTATTATTATACCTCAAGAGTAACCGAATCCCAGGTGTCGAAACCCATAAACCATGATATACTGAGCTTCCGAACCCAGAGAAATCGAACCCATGTTACCACAACTCATCCGCTTCGATCACTGTCGCCTGTGAGAAACTGAATCCATGGTGTCAAGGCTATGGACCCGAAGGAAACGAGGCTTCGAACCCCTATATATATGTCAGTTCAATCACTGTCCCGTGTTAGACAATGAATACTCTCTGTCTGTTGAGTGACTGACACACACACACACACACACACACACACACACACACTGACAACACACACACACACACACACACACACACACACACACACACACACACACACACCACTAAACACTCTATAGCTATATTTTTCCTCCATAACTTTCCTTCCAGTGTTTGTGTAATAATAATAATAATAATAATAATAATAATAATAATAATAATAATAACAATAATAATAATAATAATAATAATAATAATAATAATAATAATAATAATAATAATAAAATACATTAATTAGTTTTATGGTACTTAAACGTTAATTCCTATCTACACAAACGATATATCACTGTCCTGTACATCACCTGAGCTGCCTTCGGAAATTCAGCCCCAAATAACACATAAAGTTTTTCGGTAGATAAGTAGACAGACAAAAAGACAGACAGACAGACAGACAGACAGATGGATGGGTGGTTGGACGGACAGATAGATAAATAATGCAATGGTATGTTTCACCACCAAGTGTGTGTGTGTGTGTGTGTGTGTGTGTTAGTGGACTGTATAACAAGTGAGTATTACTTTAGTACTGTAATAACTTTTTAATATTACTAGAGGAATAAGTCTTAATATTCACACTACAGTTATGTTCATTAGGGAAACGATAACGGGGTCAACAACGATAACAAGTTGCTTCGTATTAACAGCAGTACACAGATTAACAGTAGTTAGAGTGATAACGAAGGTAGCGTTAGGGTAACTCTTATTAACACCAGCGAGGAAGAGTACAGGGGTGCTGCCTCGCTCACAACCCACAACATGGGTGTGCCGCCAAGACACAACACGGCCTCTGAGGACACCGCCGCACTTCTCCTCTTGGGATAAACGAGTCTGCCCCCGCACGCAGTTGTGTGTGTGTGTGTGTGTGTGTGTGTGTGTGCAGGTGAGCTTGTGCATGGATTCGTCCTTGAGTGTGTGTGGAGGTGGCGGGCACACACACGCCATGGTACAAAAGGGCAGGCAGGCGGGTGACCCGAGCTCACACAGTGTCGGTACCTGCAGAGTGAGGTTGTTGCTGGCAGCTGGTGAGTGGACACAGACTCCCCAGCCCTCAGTGAGCCCAGCGCTTCGTTTGCGACAGGACGTCCCTCTCAGCTCTCTCTCTCTCTCCCTCCTTCCTCCCTCCTCGCCCGTGTCCCTCCTACCGTGACATCCTCCCTGGGTTGTTATCTCTCACACCTTCAAGTACCGACCAAAACCCAGAGATCCTCGACCGTTTTCATCGAGTCCCACTTATAGCAGACTCCCATCTCTAACATTGACATCAAGAACGAAGGACTGAGCCATGAGTCTACCTCGGTACTTACCCTCCCTGGCGCTGCTGGGGTTGTGCCTGTGTGTAGGGGCGAGGGTCGTCTACCCCAGCAGTACCTGTGAACCCAACAAAATGACGGTATACAAAGTGATGGTTGAGACCGCCTGGAGCCGCGAAGTGTTCCCCAAGCAGTACCCCGAGTGGAGACCTCCAGCCCAGTGGTCCAAAGTTGTCGGTGAGTATTTGACCAAGTACCATTGTTCTTTGATATGATTACAGTGTAGCATTGTAGCCTTAGGTCAGTGTTTTGTAGGGGGAGGGGGCGACAGTCAACCAGGGAAGGAAGGAACCAATGTTAAACCTTAAATTCGACCAAGGGTACAACTATTAAGCTCTATAATCGACCAAGGGTACCACTATTAAGCTCTATAATCGACCAAGGGTACAACTATTAAGCTCTATAATCGGCCAAGGGTACCACTATTAAGCTCTATAATCGACCTGGGGGGGGGGGGTGACCAGAATACCCCAATATTCGTCTTGAAAACCCGACCAGAGTCTTACCCATTTTATACAGAGTGGACCAGATTCTAAAGCCAATTCTGACGTGAAGATCAACCAGTTTCAAAACAATAGAAGACTCGACCTGTTATAAAATCCAATTCTGACGTGAAGATCAACCAGTTTCAAAACAATAGAAGACTCGACCTGTTATAAAATCCAATTCTGACGTGAAGATCAACCAGTTTCAAAACAATAGAAGACTCGACCTGTTATAAAATCCAATTCTGACGTGAAGATCAACCAGTTTCAAAACAATAGAAGACTCGACCTGTCATAAAATCCAATTCTGACGTGAAGATCAACCAGTTTCAAAACAATAGAAGACTCGACCTGTCATAAAATCCAATTCTGACGTGAAGATCAACCAGTTTCAAAACAATAGAAGACTCGACCAGTTATAAAATCCATTTCTGACGTGAAGATCAACCAGTTTCAAAACAATAGAAGACTCGACCTGTTATAAAATCCAATTCTGACGTGAAGATCAACCAGTTTCAAAACAATAGAAGACTCGACCTGTTATAAAATCATTATATTAAAGAATTCGACTTAATTAAAAAAAAACAATAAGAAACTAAATTCGACCAGACTTTATAATCATACGAGAATCTACCAGTTTTATAAGCCATTGTAATACGAACTCAACCAAACGTTAAGACCTTATGAAAATCGACCAGTTTTAAACCATTGTAATACAGAAATTCGACCAAACTTTAAAATAACCCTACACAATCGACCAGACCCGCCATAAGAGTGAAAGATCCTACCAGTAGCTGACTTGACCTCCCCTCGATCAGGTCTCAAAGAGTGTTGAGTTGACCTGACCACCAAAACAAAAGAATTTTCTCAATGTTGATGACGTCACCTTTCTTTTATTTGGATTGTTAAGAAAATTTACTTATTAGTCCGTTTTCTGTCTATTTATCTGTCTGTCTGTGTTGTTTATTTATCTGTCTGTCTGTCTGTCTGTTTTTCTGAAATTCTGTCTGTCTGTCTGTCTGTCTACCTATTTATCTGTTGTTGTTTATTTGTCTATGGATGTTTTTCTGTCGTTTCTGTCTGTCTGTCTATCTAACTATCTGTTTGTCTGTGTCTGTGGGATTTCGATCGTCCCTTCTGTCTGTCTGTCTGTCTGTCTGTCTGTCCTTTTGTTTATATGAATCTACCTGTTGTGTCTATCTGTTGTCTATAATCTACCTGTTGTGTCTATCTGTTGTTGTCTAGAATCTACCTGTTGTGTCTACCTGTTGTCTATAATCTACCTGTTGTGTCAATCTGTTGTCTAGAATCTACCTGTTGTGTCTACCTGGTGTCATTAATCTACCTGTTGTGTCTACCTGTTGTTGTCTAGAATCTACCTGTTGTGTCTATCTGTTGTCATTAATCTACCTGTTGTGTCTATCTGTTGTTGTCTAGAATCTACCTGTTGTGTCTACCTGTTGTCATTAATCTACCTGTTGTGTCTACCTGTTGTTGTCTAGAATCTACCTGTTGTCATCTCTATCTGTTTGTGTCTATTATCTACCTATTTGTGTCTACCTGTTGTTGTCTACTATAATCTACCTGTTGTGTCTATCTGTTGTTGTCTAGAATCTACCTGTTGTGTCTACCTGTTGTCTATAATCTACCTGTTGTGTCTATCTGTTGTTGTCTAGAATCTACCTGTTGTGTCTACCTGTTCTATAATCTACCTGTTGTGTGTCTATCTGTTGTCTGAATCTACCTGTTGTGTGTCTATCTGTTGTCTAGAAATCTACCTGTTGTGTCTACCTGTTGTCTATAATCACCTGTTGCTTGTCTACCTGTTGTGTCTGTCCTGTTGTCATTAATCTACCTGTTGTGTGTCTACCTACTTGTCTAGAGTCTACCTGTTGTGTCTATCTGTTGTCTATAATCTACCTGTTGTGTCTACCTGTTGTCTACCTGTTGTTGTCATTAATCTGCCTGTTGTGTCTACCTGTTGTTGTCTAGAATCTACCTGTTGTTTTTACACCATTTGTCTAGAATCTACCTGTTGTGTCTACCTGTTGTCTAGAATCTACGTGTTGTGTCTACCTGTTGTCTAGAATCTACCTGTTGTGTCTACCTGTTGTCTAGAATCTACGTGTTGTGTCTACCTGTTGTCTAGAATCTACCTGTTGTGTCTACCTGTTGTCTAGAATCTACCTGTTGTGTCTATCTGTTGTCTAGAATCTACCTGTTGTCTATAATCTACCTGTTGTGTCTACCTGTTGTCTAGAATCTACCTGTTGTGTTTACCTGTTGCCTAGAATCTACCTATTGTGTCAACCTGTTGTCCTTAATCTACCTGTTGTCTCTACCTGTTGTCTATAATCTACCTGTTGTGTCTACCTGTTGTCATTAATCTACCTGTTGTCTATAATCTACCTGTTGTGTCTACCTGTTGTCTAGAATCTACCTGTTGTGTTTACCTGTTGCCTAGAATCTACCTATTGTGTCTACCTGTTGTCATTAATCTACCTGTTGTCTATAATCTACCTGTTGTGTCAACCTGTTGTCTATAATCTACCTGTTGTGTCAATCTGTTGTCATTAATCTACCTATTGTGTCTACCTGTTGTCATTAATCTACCTGTTGTGTCTACCTGTTGTTGTCATTAATCTACCTGTTGTGTCAATCTGTTGTCATTAATCTACCTGTTGTGTCTACCTGTTGTCATTAATCTACCTGTTGTCTCTACCTGTTGTCTAGAATCCACCTGTTGTGTCAACCTGTTGTTGTCTAGAATCTACCTGTTGTCATTAATCTACCTGTTGTGTCTACCTGTTGTTGTCTAGAATCTACCTGTTGTGTCTACCTGTTGTCATGTTAATCTACCTGTTGTGTCTACCTGTTGTTGTTCAGAATCTACCTGTTGGTTCACCTGTTGTTGTCTATAATCTACCTGTTGTGTCTACCTGTTGTCTAGAATCTACCTGTTGTGTTTACCTGTTGCCTAGAATCTACCTATTGTGTCTACCTGTTGTCATTAATCTACCTGTTGTCTATAATCTACCTGTTGTGTCAACCTGTTGTCTATAATCTACCTGTTGTGTCAATCTGTTGTCATTAATCTACCTATTGTGTCTACCTGTTGTCATTAATCTACCTGTTGTGTCTACCTGTTGTTGTCATTAATCTACCTGTTGTGTCAATCTGTTGTCATTAATCTACCTGTTGTGTCTACCTGTTGTTATAATAATAAATAATCGAACAAACACAAGAATTCCTCACTGAAAAACAACAACACATTCTACACAGGTTCTTACGACTATACCTGTGACGTCACCTTATATATTACCTCACTTGCCCGCTTACCAACACCTGGTTTGGTTAGGTTTAGGTTAGGTTAGGTTAGGTTATGCTTGGATTGGTTAGGTTAGGTTTGGTAAGGTTAACTATCTCAATATGTAAATTTTGGTGACTTTTGTTGTTGACCTTTGACCTTGTATAGAGTCACAAGGTCATTACTAATTGTGGATTGATGAGAGAGAGAGAGAGAGAGAGAGAGAGATTATTCGTTGTGCTGTGTGGTGTCGCGTTGTGTTGTGTCGTATAGTGTAGCATTCGAGGATGACGTGGCGTTACCCTCCAAGGTCGACCTCTGGTGATATCTTGTTTATTGTTATTAATCGTCTTTTATTACGTCTGTTGTATCTTCTCTCTCGTCTTCTTCATCTCCTTCTCTTCATTCTCCTTTCCCGCTTCTTCTCTTTCTATCTCATCTTCCCCTCTTCCTTCGTATCTTAATTAATTACCTGTAAACACGAAGGTACCGTCTAGGCCTGTGGGTGGACTGGATATACCTAGGCCACAGTTCACCTAACTTAACTTAACCTAACTTAACCTAACGTAAACTAAGCTTCAGAAGTACAACACTAGTTTAAGGTACATTAACACCCAGCCTCCAGGGTACGATGCTCACGATAACATCACCATTTGCGTCACACCATCACAAAGACTGAGGTAGGGAGGAGATGCGTACGATAATTTACCCCTTTTAGGTACAATCAAGTTCGCGACGCCAGAGGTCTGATGACTCGTGGCTAGACGTTCGGGTCCCAGTACTTTATGGGGTCAATTAGGACTGATAGGGGGGCTATTGGGACTGGGGGTCTATTAGCACTGTTTTTTTTAGGACTGGGGATCTATTAGTACTGGGGCCCATTAGAACCGGATGCCAATTAGAATTTTGGCCCATTATAACTAGCCATTTATTTGTCGTAAAAACCCCATTAGAAGTGAGATCCCCTTAGACGTGACGTTATATTAGGAATTTCGTCCAAGTAGTATAATTCACCCATTACAACTGAGCCCCCCATTAGACTTGAGACCACCCATTAGACACAAGGTCACCCATTAGACCTCCACCAGCCTGTTAAGTCACGCCGCCACATGATGCACCAACAGCTATATCACCATTATTACCAGGCTTAGCTGTGGTGAGGCGACCTGTGGTAACTTTCTGCTGCTGTGGTGATGACCTTTGTGAAGTTCATGTGTGTGTGTGTGTGTGTGTCAGTCATCCCTCACGAGCTAGAACAACAACATCCACCCGTTAGGTCAGAAGAGGCGGCCATTAACCCATCCATCATAAAAACATCACAAGAATTTTTTTTTTAAAGCAAACAAAGATTTTTTTTAACAAACTATAAAATAAACATTAACTTA